AATATACTAAAATATTCAATAATTGTTTGCACATTAAATGCAAAATTAATTTTTAACAAAATTTTATTCAAAGCATTAGGAAAATAATATTCAAAACAGAAATAACCAGACCATAACAATGCTGCATAGATAGTGGTATACAAGTTCCCTGACTCTAAGTGACTTCTTTCTAACCTAAAACTTCAATTTTTAAGTCACCTGGTAGAAAATGGTAGAGGCATTACTTTCTCTCTCTGAGGCTGGAAAAATGGCTTCAATGGTGAAAAGTCAAAGCATTTAAACAACAAAGATTAAATTACTCCCAAAGTTAATTCTATTCCCTTCTTGTTATTTTTCAAAGATGAAAATTTAGAATGTAACAATTATTAGATGGGAATAAAAAGTGAATTACCTCTTAAGAGATACTTGATCAGTGCCTGCTTTAATCAAAGCACTGAATTTAAGTTTTAAAAATTACAACCACACCATTATGCTTAACTAAAATTGCCAATATGAATACCTTTTTACAAAATGCATTACATGTATACAAGAAAAAAAAAAGACCTGTTTCCTGTTCTTTGACTTTCAGTAGAAAAAAATGTTATCACTAATGAGGATTTGAAAAATAATTTTCTTGGCAGAATATTAGCTCTAGAGACCAAAATCTTTTCTGAATACTTAAAATAGACTGAATCAGTCAGTGAGAAATTGCTAAATTTCTTTTATAAGAGTTATCACTAATGAGGATTTGAAAAATAATTTTCTTGGCAGAATATTAGCTCTGGAGACCAAAATCTTTTCTGAATACTTAAAATAGACTGAATCAGTCAGTGAGAAATTGCTAAATTTCTTTTATAAGAGTACTTTTTGAAGAGGAAGACAATTTGCTTGGAAGGAATTTGTAGCTGGAAACATTGTTCATTACGAAATCATTGAGTTGCCCTGAGAAAGACTTTTAAAACTATCAGTGTTTTCAGGGGCCCTCACCAATGCACGAAGGAGCAACTTGTAGGCCCTAGCCTTTTATAA